TGATAGTTTTAGATTTTTCTTTAATTATGGTTTTAATTATGACAATTTAATATCTTAGTTTAATATTTATGTATGATATATTGTATTTTCCTTTTGGAAATGATTCTATTATAAATAAATTCGTTAAAGTCTCTTGAAATAAGGGGATTTTGAGGAACTAAGGGCCTATTTTCTTTGCTATTTCCAGTTTTCGAAAATACTGAATACATTTACTTACCTATTTTCAAAAATGAGTTTAAAATTTAAAAAGAAAACAGAAAACGCTAAATAAATTGTCTTGGTTGTTTTCAATTAAAATCAAGCCAAAATTTTATTTTTTTTTATTTTTGAAAACAATTTTTCAAAATGACAAAAAGAACAGGTTTTCAACAATCTCAAAATGAACACTTAAAACACAAAATTCAAAATTCAAAACTAAAAACTGAAACACGAAGAAAACAACCATTGACTTTCTCAATTATACATCCAAGAGTGTGTTTGATAGAGATTTTTGGGGGAAGAATTGATTTTTGAATAGTGATATGATGGGAAATGTGTGGTTGAAAAAGAAGAAAAAAGTATTGATGTGATGAAAAATATTATTTTATTGAAGAATGTGTGGTTGAAAATGAGAATTGATTTACTGTAGAAAATGAAAATCTGTACCAAACAGGCCCTATATCATCAAAGTGAATGCAAACTCAGAGTGAACAGAAAGTGTTAATTCTTCGAACTGCACGCCTTTCTGTTGGGAAATTTCACCAATTCCCTTTATTTCAATTAACCCGCAAGATCTTTTTGTTGTTCAGAAGAATATTAGCAAACAAGAAAAATAAATAATATAACGCACAAATTAAACGGACCGTCAAAACTTTTTCACTATATGAAAAATTGTTACAATCATATAGAAGTTTTTACTCACCAACTGTCCAAAGTATTACAGAGAAATTACAAAGAAAATTCCGTGGCCAGCAGCAATTCAATTCTTGTCTCCTGTGTGTGTCCAATTGTAATATTTGGCTACCTCTTTGCTTTTCCCAAGCCACAATAGTTGACTCTATATATTTCAATTCCAGCCTTTGTTTTTTCCTCACTATTTGCCTGCTTTCTGTGAGTATAATATAATTCCTTCAGCCAAATTTCCTTACTCAACACCACAGGTCCACAACCGTTCCCGCCGCCTCCGCCTATTTTCTTTTTTCTTCTTTTTCTCTCACTGGTCACACACACCCCTAAAATATGGAATACACCACTATTTATAGGATCCATAATAACCTATTATTATTTGCAGTAGAAGTCCTCCAACTTTGACTTTTGAGGTAATTACCTAACAATCTCCACCTTGCCGAAAACAAGTCAAAATCTTGTCATCTCTTCTACAACTTTTAATCACAATACTTTGAAAAACAGGTAAGCCTTTGACACACTTTAACGATCCCATACTCCACTATATGAGTATAACCACTCAGAATAAACTCCGAGCATTTTATCGGCTACATGTCGAAACAACCCTGCTGATAGTTATTGTGCAACTCTCCCACTGACTTTCCCAGAGAGCTCATCAGCCATCGACACTACAACACCACCACATACCCACACACCTTACATCAAATATCAGTCAATGCTATGTGTAGATATGCTGACCCACGCCAGTAAGAACACATCCTCTATCATGGCAATCGACGACATGCCATGAGGATGTTCCCATCGTACTTTACGCCACATCAAGCGCGTCCTCCTCCGCCACGAGAGATGCACTGTCCAACCTCAAACAGTTAGTCGACCCTGCTCTACCTTTTGGACAATTTCTCTTCACATCACCAGTTTGACCGCAGTTCCAACTAGTTGCTTTTTTCTTCATGGAGTTGCCCTTCTTCCACTTTTCAATCACAAGCGCCACATTGTCAGAAAGAATATTCTGACCACCTAATCTCCTTTCTTCTGAGATCAATTTTCTTGTCACTTCTGCGAAACTCACAGTTTCCTTCCCATACATCAAGATTGGCTTGATATGTTCATAGGTAGACGGAAGAGACCAGATGAGACGTAATGCCTTATCCTCATCATCTATCTTCACTCCAATAGCTTCCAGTTCTGAAACAATCCCATTGAGAGCACTTAGATGGTCTGAGATTTTCGTACCTGTCTCCACAGTTCCTTTGCATCAGATATTCCATGAATATTTGCAAGAATATTTTTAGCCAGACAGAGACGTATCGTGCTTGTAGCCTTCAAATCTAATTCCTCCCAAACCTCATCACTCATATTGGATTCAGCTTCCTTGTCAGAACTCTGTGTTGGTTTTCCTTTCAAAGCCTTGTGCAGTCCAGCTTGAATCAATAAATCCCTGACCTGTACTTGCCACAAGCCGAAGTTGATTCTCCCGTCAAATTTCTCAACGTCATATTTCAACGACATATTTTTCTGTTGCTCCAACACTCTGAACCACCTGACGCTTTGATACCACTTGTTGGGAAATTTCACCAATTCCCTTTATTTCAATTAACCTGTAGGATCTTTTTGTTGTTCAGAAGAATATTAGAAGAAAAATAAATAATATAACGCACAAATTAAACGGACCGTCAAAGCTTTTTCACTATATGAAAAATTGTTACAATCATATAGAATTTTTCACTCATTAACAGTCCAAAGTAATACAGAGAAATTACAAAGAAAATTCCGTGGCCAGTAGCAATCCAATTTTTATATTATTTATTTTTCTTGTTTGCTAATATTCTTCTGAACAACAAAAAGATCCTACGGGTTAATTGAAATAAAGGGAATTGGTGAAATTTCCCAACACTTTCTGCAATTGTAACAATTTTCATCTCCAACACAGGCACAATTTCATCAATACAATTAAGAGGTTCGTGCACCACACCAGTCGTACAATCATTTTAAGACAGAAAAATTCTAACTATAATTCATATGCATAGACAAAGATACATAAGCAAACAATAAATATAACCTGCATACACAAATTTGAAAAACCATTTGAAGATCGTTACACTTAAACAAAGAATCTTCCATTTGCCCACCCATAAAAGAATCATCTCGTAATGGAAATGCGGATAATCTATCTGCTTATTTTTTAACTGCCCATCTTGATCATCCTGTGAAAAACTAGTTCAGTTAGCCCTACTCCTGATAAGATCCGGTTCAAACTGCTTTTTATTCTTTATCATCTTTTTCTAAAAATGAGGTTGCACATTACCATTGTTTTTCCTTCATTTTACTAGGTTAAATTTCATTTAGACATTTTGGCACACCTGTGTCAGAATCCACAAATTATATTTATATTGTGATTCTAAAAGGATTCATATCCGTACTTTTTCAATTTTCAGATATTCTTTTTGCTTCTTTTTTCTTAACGTAGACAGTACCATGTTGAGTAAACTCTGACTAATCACAGAATATTTGATTACTTTTCAGGGGGAATTCCTTTGGAAATAGGCAATCTTTCTCATTTAGAGATATTTAGCATAAGAGGTGGCTCTCTAACTGGGTCAGTTCCATCTTTACTCTTCAACATGTCTTCTCTGAAAACAATTGACCTTGCTGAGAATAGCCTGTCTGGAAGCCTCCCAGTAGACATGCATCGTAATCTTCCTCAACTCGAGCAGCTTTATCTTCTATCCAATCAGCTAACTGGACAAGCTTTGTCCAGCATATTGGAATGCAAAACACTTCGGCTCATATCATTGTCTGATAACAAACTTACAGGCAATCTGCCTGCAAAAGTAGGAAACCTCACTGGGCTGAAATATCTATATCTAGGGAGTAACAACTTGACAGGTACGTTTCAATTCCTCGGTATCTCATCTTGCTAAGTTCTAGTCTGCTTTTTTAAAGCAAGGAGTAATTTTTATTGTTGAAAATTGAACACGTGGATATTGATGAGAAGGAGAAAAATTCCTGATCCATAAATTATAGAGAAATCCATTTCACTGTTATGGTCTTTGCATGTTGAAACTTTTAAAAAAAAAAAAAAAATTATTCTACCTGGACTCTGTATGTGCGTGTCTTCCTTGTTCATTTCACTGAACAATTTGAAACGGGCAATAAAGCAAATGAATAAATAAATAGAGAAGAAAATGCTAAAGGAAATAAATTTAAGGGTTCTTGTATCCTATTTCAAGTATTTCATATCACTGTTAATTCAAGTCTTTTCCCTGTGACAACTTTCTGTTTTTAAGGAGAGGAGTTTAAACCATGTATTGCCTAATAGTTAATATATTAAGTTTAGTTTTTAAATATGCACTTCGTAGATGTACTTCAAAACAACAGTTGATGGATATCACAGTCTCTACACTGTGGCAGGTGAATTGCCAGCCGAGCTTGGCAAGCTTAATCTGGAGGACCTCGATCTCTATAACAATAGCTTCTTTGGCCCCATTCCCTATTCCGTGTTCAATATATCAACAATGAAAAGGATGGCACTTTCTTTCAATCAATTTTCAGGCCATCTTCCTTCAACCATGGGGCTTTCACTTCCAAACATTGAAGAGCTTCATTTGGGTCAAAACAAACTCAGTGGAGTAATACCAAGTTCTATCACCAATTCTTCCAAGCTCAACTTCTTGTTCTTGGGCAGTAACTCTTTTTATGGAATTATGCCCAACTTTGGTAATTTAAGACTTCTACGGCGCCTCATGATTGGAGGAAATAATTTGACAGGAGAACCTTCGAGTTCAGAATTGAATTTTTTCTCTTCATTAACAAATTGCCGATATTTGGAGATTTTTGAAGTATCTTTGAATCAACTAAATGGTATTCTCCCATCATCAATTGGGAATTTCTCATCTCTTCAGGTATTCAGAGCATTAGGATGCAACATTAAGGGTGCTATTCCTACTGAAATTGGAAACTTAAGCAGCCTGAAAGATTTATATTTATATAGCAATCAGTTAACGGGACCCATCCCAAGATCACTTGGAAACTTAAAAAGTCTTCAACGTATTTATCTTCAACATAATAAACTTGATGGATATATTCCCGTCGAGATTTGCCAGTTAAGCAATTTGGGGGACTTGTACCTGAACGAAAATATGCTCAATGGGCCAATTCCGGCTTGCATGGGGGAACTCAAATCCCTGAGAGGACTCTACTTAAACTCCAACAGATTGGAGTCTAAAGTGCCAGTAAACTTGTGGTACCTTAAAGATCTTCTGAGACTAAACTTGTCCTATAACAGTTTTAGTGGTTCTCTATCTTCAGAAATTAAAAATTTGAATGTGGTCAACGAAGTAGACTTGTCCTGGAATCAATTCACAGGTGATATTCCAAGTTCCATTAGCAGCATGCAATCATTAATGTCCATATCTTTTGCACACAACAAATTTCAAGGATCTATTCCTCCGTCTCTAGGAAACATAATAAGCTTGGAATCAATAGATGTGTCTCACAATAGTATTTCTGGAGTGATTCCAAAGTCATTAGAGGCACTCAACTATCTACAATACTTTGACGTGTCTCACAACAGTCTAGAGGGAGAGATTCCATCGGGAGGGTGTTTTGTGAACTTCACTGCTCAATCATTCATGCAAAACTATGCTCTTTGCAGTGAAACTCGAAAACAATTTCCACGTTGTAAAGAGACTCTTAAAAGAACAAGTTCAAAGAACGGGAAGTCATTAGTGAAATATATTATTCCCCCTATCATAGCAGTTATTCTCGCAGTGAGCATGACATTTTTGGTGTTAAGACGAAGACAACTGAACAGACAAGTACCCGGGAGTGAAATTTCATTCCATCATACATGGAGAAGGATTTCTTTTTGGGAACTTCGAGAAGCAACAAATGACTTCAGTGAAACCAACATACTTGGAAGTGGAAGTTTTGGTTCCGTCTACAGAGGAACACTTTCTGATGGGTTAAATGTTGCGGTGAAAGTTTTCAATTTGCAGTCACAGCAAGTAACCAAGAGCTTTGATATAGAATGTGAAGTGTTGAGCACCATTCGTCATAGAAATTTAGTCAGAATTATTGGATGTTGCAGTAACTCAGAGTTCAAGGCCCTAATACTGGAGTACATGCCTAATGGTAGCCTGGAGAAATGGTTATATTCCCACAACAATTTCTTGGACATGCTAAAAAGGCTAAATATAGCGATTCATGTTGCTTTAGCTTTAGAATATCTGCATCATGATCATACATTTGCTATTGTTCATTGTGATTTAAAGCCTAGCAATGTCGTGCTCGACAAAGATATGGTTGCCCATGTTGTTGATTTTGGTATAGCCAAACTCTTCGATGAAGGGGAGTCAGAGGTTCAAACGAAGACCTTGGCAACAATTGGATATATGGCACCAGGTAATGTTCCCTTTTGAAAGTGATAATTTATTTTTTCCTCAGTAAAAATTAACGAAATTTCAACTTCAGCTTCTAAACTTATGATTTGATCTTATGAATTCTTAAAATCAATGTAGAATATGGAACTGAAGGAATAGTATCCACTAGTGGCGATGTCTACAGCTTTGGTGTAATGCTGCTGGAGATGTATACAAGAAAGAAGCCAACTGATGAGATGTTCGGTGAAGAAATGAGCTTGAAAAGTTGGGTGAGTCAGTCATTATCCAAGAATACGATAACTGAAGTTGTGGACACCAATTTGCTTGGAAGAGGGGACCAAAATTTCTCTGCAAAGGAGCAATTTGTCTCATCCGTTTTGGCTTTGGCGATAGAATGTTTGACCAATTCTCCTATGGAAAGAATCAGTATGAGGGAAGTTGTGGCTAGACTTCAAAAGGTTAAAACAATGTTTCTAGCAACAACTACAGATCATAATATTTTTGTCTGTTGAACAGACCAACATTTTGTAACAAATGATTTAAGAATGTTCTAGCATAGCTTTGGTTAATCAATAAATCAACAATTACATTAAAATTTGGTGTTTCCAGAAATATTAGCATAACCATTGTTCCATAAAAAAATATTCGTATATATATTTCTCCAATGTCCCCATCGACACATTTTCAAAAATTTCAGGAGACTTTAGCCACATTTGATGACAAAAAACAGAACTATAATGTGAAGACCACAATCTACAGTGAAAAATATTTATCTTTTCTTCCTCAAGGTGTTTTTTCAAATTTATTTCTTGACAACATAATTTGTGTTCTGTTATTGAGTGCAGACGAGAAGCACCATGATATCTTCTGCATAAACAGTTTGAATATAAGTACTTATACATTGGCACACATGTACATGCATATCAGGATGTGTCTAGAACCATAAAACAAGAAATAAAGTGAACACTAATAATATCAGTAATGCTTAGGCTTAGCAATGCTTTAATTCAAGCATGAAGCAACACATACATTAATAGATCAACCACAAGAACATCAATGTTAGAATGTCTACTTTAAAATACTCAAACCAGAAATAACCTTGAGGGGTTGCTCAATTGGTCAGACCTTGTGTTTGCTCCCCAATGGTCATCAGTTCGAATCCCCTCAGGGCCACTGAGTTGAGTACCTGACCGTAAACTTCGGGGCCCCGTGGAATTAGTCGAGGTGCGCGCAAGTTGGCCCGGACATCCACGGTTATCAAAAAAAAAAAATACTCAAACCAGAAATGAAAACATTAGGCTTCAAAGCCCTTAGATTCAACTCAGTAAAGGGGCAAACCCAAGAGTAAGAGCAAATTCATTAAAAAGCGTGGTTAAAAATAAGAGAGAGAAAAACGTATTTTGAAAATAATGGGGACCAAGCAAAGGCTTTATATAAATTCATTATAAAAAATTTGTTATACACCAGATTTATGTCTTTCAGGATTCCAAATTCCAATAACCAACGATTTTATCATATATTTGACATGATGATGTTTAAAGGCTACAGAATTATATCAACTTCTTAACTTTATGCCAACAACTTGAAGAGCTCACAAATGCTTAAAAGCCAATTCTGAAATAAATCTATTTGAATTGAGTTCAATATCAACAACTTTAATAAATATGTGATGGACAAAAAAGAAAAGATATTGTATTACAACCTAGGAGTACAAATCTAACAAACACCTTCACTAAACTTATCATAAGCAAGAAACACCAAGTATCGCACCTTGAAATATCTAAACTCATTAAAATGCAATTGCCAAAAAGCAAAATCATGGATGCAAATTCAAAAGTTGAATAGCACTCAAAATCCTAAATGTTAGACCATGAAAATCAGATTAAGCATGTAGATAACAATAGAAAATATGTATTTCTATTAAACAAATGAGCATGACATTAAAGAACTCTGAACACTTCATTGACCGTAATTAGAACCTCATAATTCATAAATTATTAGTAGAATATCAGGCAAAGGGAAAAAATATACAAAGCCAATTAGGTATCTGTTTTTTGATATGAAATACAGGTGAAAAATCAAAATGATCCCATAAGTTTTAGAACATACAAAAAGGTACAATGAATGCAATAAATTACATAAGATAAAATCACTAGTATTTTCGATAACAAACAATCCGAATTAGCTGATCCAGGAACAAAAACACAAGAAACATATCATATTAAATGTATTTTGAACAGAAAATTAAATATCAGATCTCAAACCCAATTTCCCTTCTTTTACAATCACTTTCTAACCAATTGTCTACCATTTCCTAGTGTAAATGGAGATAAACAAACCATTTCTTGTAGTTTTGGTTGTACTGGCACCCACCACAATTTTTCCACATTTAGCTTTGGGAAGATACAAGGCAAAAAAGCTTGTCAAACTTTGTCAAGAAAAAAGTTTTCACAATTTGGACATTTCATCAAACACCTGGTTGGACATATTTGAAAGCAGCATTGAATAACATAATCAAATAACTTTTTACTAGTCACAACGGAAGTACAAACAGAGACTCAAAGGAGAGCAAAAGGAGAAAAAAGAAAAAGGAAATAAAACTGTAAAATTAACTTAACTTCTACTGCTACAAATGATAATCTGTGCAGGTCTTCAGCACCTCCAAGTCCAGGGCGTGGCCATTAATTGGACCATTCTTCTTGATGATCTCTGATTTTGCCACCTTTAAACATTCTTTTTCACTAACAAATGGATGTTCATTTGAAGAAAAAAGGAACGCAGGTTACGCAGCCCATCATTAAAAAAAAAAAAATCTGTGAAGAAGACGAACCAGGCGCTGCCGACGTCGGTCCGTCTGGCGGAGCCCAGCACGTGCGGCCACACCTCCTGGCTGGGTGCTGGGTCCGTCTCTGATCACACATTACATATTAGTAGTACTAGTACCACTATGAATTCTACAATAATCCCCAAGTTTTAAAAGATATGATAGAAGAATTAAACTTTCAATAAACAGAACAGAATTCCACAAGGAGAGTCTTAACACTTTGCTGTAAGCAACTTCTCAGGTAGTAAATCAATCAAACCGTTTGTGTGCCATCAGCAATGATATTTCCATTAAAATGATAGATGTTAGCACCAAGTTTCAATTTTTGACTCCCTGCAATAATCAGATATACCCACCCATCCTTTACATTTCCTGCCACCCTTTGTAGGTCAAGTACAATTCTCAATAAAAAAATTATTTTAGAATGTTCCAACCGGTAGCTTTGGTTGATCTATCAACCAGAAATAACATATGCAAATTTAATGCTTCTAATTTATTTGCACAAAATAGATAGAGTAGCCATTGTTGGCTTTCAAACGGTCACTTCATTTGAATGAAGAGTAGCCATCTATGGCACTTATGGCACACTAAAACAGTCAAATATTAACTGGCCTTGCCTTAATCATGTATAATTCGACCAATAATAAAATTTACATGTGCTATCGCAGAGTCTGCAATAAAATTACGTGCTAAAAGATTAATAACTTTTTAGTAAACACTATATTTGATTCAACCTGAGCTCAAGTGGCCTACGGCAAAAATGCGCGTGTTGTAGGCTCAAATCAACCATACGAAGTCCTGTGAACGCAAAAAATACATGCCTTTTGAGATGCAAACCCAATTTTAACGTCGAACCTAATATACCATTCTAAGTACTAAAATGTGGGATTCATTTCTTTCATTGTCTTTATGCGAAAAGACAATATCAGGGACTGGAGACAATACTAGGTTGAGGTTCTTGGACATAGTAAATACTATTTTTGGAATGTTATAGCAGATTCACATGCATGTAGTTTTAAAGAACTTGATCAAAGAAATAAATTACCCACCAATTAAAAGCTTTACAATTTTCTTAATCCTTGAAAATCGTGAATAGAAAGCTCCTTCAATATTACGTTTGGAAGACTTTTTAAGAGATCCCTACTTAAATATTGCAATTTGTCTATAAAAAGGATAATCCCACCCTAATTTTCATTTTCCTATTCAAATGCAACTTTGTTGTGTCCAAATGCAACTGTTTCTATTGGATGTTCATTATTTAACATTGAAGTCAACTATGGCTCTTGTTGCTATATTCTTGTCGAGGGAATAGAGTAGCCTACACAGTTGCTTCTTATGGCATTTTAGCGTTGGGTACATTTTTTGCAATTGTTTCAATAAATGATTGTTTGGCACTAAAAAAAATTAGAGTAACTTAAAGAGATCTTAAAATATAAAGTCTAGAAGTCCTAGCCGTAAAGGATAGATACCTAGCTCTATACGTATTGTATTATGCAATGAGTGATGTAGCTAACGCGTTAACTACGCCTTCTGATAACTTGATATAAACTCATTTATCATACAAAACTTGCATGAGTCTTAACTTTGATCAAATTCCTGAAAATAAAAAATAATAGATTTCACATGCATGAAGTTTTAATGGATCTAAATACATAAATAAATTACAGATACAACTAAAAGCTGCCTAAATATATGGCATATAATTTTATATGCAGACCTTTTAAAAAATTAAACTTAAATACTGCAACTTATTATAAAGTAAACCGTGTGATCCCACTCTAACGGAGAGTTAGGATTATTGTTTGGCAAGGGATACATTCACTTTTCGAAAATACGAAAAGAATAGCAATTGGTGTACGCTCGTAGCGACGGTTTAAATTATTATAATGCAGGGGAAAAAGGTAGACATGGATAAACCATTAACTTTGGATCTAAATCATACATGTGAGGTCTCATTTTATATAAGTCTATAAGTGGGTTGATAACTTAATATGAACTCATTTAGCATGGAGAAACTTTGCTTCTTCATTTCTGTTGCACTGTTATCAATAAACTGCTTTGCAGTTTCCTAGGCCAAAAGAGTTCTCAACACAACCACAGATGAAGAAGCACTTCTTGCCTTCAAAACTGGGATCATTTGGGGCCCTGACAACATCTTAGCTGATAACTGGTCGAGGAGTACATCAATATGCAACTGGAATGGTGTTTCTTGCAGCAGAAAGCGGCAAAGAGTCACAGCCTTAAACGTTTCAGGTTTTGGCTTCAGTGGCACTATAGCTCCACATCTCGGAAATTTAACATTTCTGATTTCTTTAGACATCAGCTTCAACAATTTCATGGGAATAATACCGCCAGAGCTTTCTCAGTTGCGTCGCTTGAAAGAAATATATGTGGGATTTAACAGACTCGTTGGAGAGGTACCATCATGGTTTGGAACATTACCAGAACTTCACCACATTCTTCTGCATAACAATAATTTCTCTGGCAGCATCCCACCATCGCTTCTGTACAACAATTCAAAGCTCCAGACAATGGTTATGGAGTACAATTTTCTAACTGGAAATATTCCGCAAGAGATTGCCAATCTTTCTGCCCTGGAAATATTAGATTTAAGGTTTAACCGGTTCACGGGTTCCATACCTTCTGGTATCTTCAACATGTCTTCTTTGATAGCAATCGATATATCGGGTAATAGCCTATCAGGTAGGCTCCCAGAGGATATTTGCAATGATATATCTAATCTGGAAGTACTCGCTCTCACAAAGAATGAACTTTATGGGCAAATTCCGTCGAATTTATATAAATGCAGGTACCTCCAGAAACTGGCATTATCTTATAATCATTTCAGTGGAAGCATACCAAGTGAAATTGGCAGTTTGATCATGCTCAGGATATTGTATCTCGGGAGGAACGACTTGATTGGTAAAATTTATTCCCTGTCCAAACTTTGCGTAATAATCTTTCAAGACACTGTAAATTGGGGTAAATGTATAAAAACCAGCACTAAAATGCAAGAAAGAAATATCAGTGTTTATATTAAGTTCTATATAAATTTAATATCAGTGTTTATAGTAAGTTTAAACTGTACTATGAATTAATAAAGTGCTGTAAAAGCAGATTGATCACAAAATACAATGCAAACACCCCTATGATTATAACAATGATAAGTCTTATTAATGATACTGTTTTCCTGCTTTTGACTACTTTTCAGGAGGAATTCCATCGGAAATAGGTAATCTTACAAAACTAGAGGTATTGAGCATACCAGGTGGCTCTCTAACTGGGCCAATTCCATCTTTTGTCTTCAACATGACTTCTCTGAAAGTAATGGACTTGGCTAATAATAGTCTGTCTGGAAGCCTCCCGGTCGATATCTGTCACAATATTCCTGATCTCGAGGAGCTCTATCTTGAATCCAATAAGCTAACAGGACAAGTTTTGTCCAGCATATTCGAATGCAAAAGGCTTTGGCTCGTAACATTAACAGATAACAAACTTACAGGTAGTCTACCTGCAAAGGTCGGAAACCTCACCGGGCTATTATATCTACATCTAGCTAATAATAAATTGACAGGTACGTATTCTAATTTTATCTAGTCCCAACACACTTAATATTAATACAGGCTATTGTTATGAATTTTAGATCGCAAGATAATGACGATAATGAAATAAATAAGAAGAAAATAAACACCAAGATTTACGTGGAAACCTAATATGGGAAAAACCACAAGTAGAAGAAAAAAATCCACTAAAATCAATAGTAATTGTGTTTACAATATCAAGATCTCTATACTCTCAATTGAAATCTAAGCTCTCTAACTCTGAAGATGTTGTTGAATTAATTATGTGTGAAGATACAATGTGAAATATAAATAAATCTCTTTGTTAGAGTTCTAGATAAAGAATAAGTTTTTTTTCAAGTCAAACTCCAAATCCTTGATGAAATTCATTAATTTGGACTCTTAAAAATCCAAACTCTTTAGACTTCTTTTATTCTACCAAATCCAAATAACATGGAATTTGGATCTCACCACAACAAATCTCCAACTTGAAACAAATTCCATTACAAGGAATTTAAGACACATCTCCAAGTAAACACCATTCCTACTCTTCCAAACAATCCTCAATGGTCTAAATCAATGACAAACACCCATTAAGTTCAAGCAATGTTCAAACATAACAATAGGAAGTCATTTTGTCATCATATCAGCAGAATTATCCTTGGTATCAACATTACTCACTACAATATCACCACAAGCAATCGCATCACGCACAAAATGATACATCACATCAATGTGCTTAATCCTTTCATGAAACATCTGATCATTAGTCAAGAAAATTGCACTCTAACTATTACAGAATACTGTAGACACCTGTAAGTCTTCACTAATTTCACCAATCAATCCTCTCAGCCACATAGCTTCCTTACATGCCTCTGTAATGGCCATATATTCTGCTTCTGTTGTAGACAAAGCTATTGTATTTTGCAAAGTAGCTTTCCAATTGATAACACAGCCTTCAAGAGTAAACACATAACCTATAAGTGATCTCCTGTTATCAAGGGAGTACTGATAGCCTTCGCATTCACCATATTGAATCTTTCAAGCACCTCTCATTGTACCCTTGTCACTCAAATACAATCTGTCAGCCTTTCTATCACTCAAGATTTTCATACTAAGAATCTTCTTTACTGCACCCAAATCCTTAATATCAAACTCCTTACTGAGTTGAAACTTCATTTTTCTGACCTCTGCTTTATCGTTGGCTGCTATGAGCATATCTTCAACATATAATAACAAATATGTAGTCGATTCACTATCTTTTTTTCTGAAGTACACACAATTATCATAATTACATCCGAAGAAACCATGATTAGTCATGAATGAATCAAAACTCTTATACCACTGCCTCGGCGATTGCTTTAGTCCGTACAAAGACTTTTTCAACAAGCACACACAGTCTTCTTTTTTCAGAGACTATGAACCCCTATGGTTGTTGCATATAGATGCTCTCCTCAAGTTCTCCATATAAGAATGCGGTCTTGATATCCATCCATTTAAGATCCAAGTCATTCTTAGCTACCACTCCAAGTAAAGCCCGGATGGAACTATGTTTCACAACTGGTGAGAACATATCTGTAAAATCAACACCTGGATTCTGACTGTAGCCCTTTGCCACCAATCTAGCCTTGTATCTAGCATCTTCAATCTCTGATGTGCCTTCCTTTCTTTTGAACACCCATTTGCAGCGAACAACGTTTTTACCTCTAGGTAATTTCACAAAGTCCCAAGTGTTATTTTTGTTCAATGACTCCATTTCCTCCTTCCATCTACTAGAATCACTGCAATTAACTGCATCTGAATATGTAGTAGGCTCATCAGTGGAATCAATATCTTTAGCCACACTCAATGCATAAGCTACCAAATCTGCTTCCCCATACTTCTGTGGAGGCCTAATCTGTCTACAAGGTCTATCCTTAGTTATAGAATACTGTGTTGTTGGAGGTGTAGACAAAGTAGGCAAGATAATACTGTCTGTCAACCTTGAACTGGACTCATATGTAGTAGACTGTTTTGTAACCTCTGATTGTTCTTCTGAACCAATTTCCAACTCCACCCGAGTTGAATGATTTTACTCCTTAGTTTTATCAACATCCCCAATAGGTGAACCACGAACCATAGCAAGTTCATCAAATACTATATCCCTACTAACAACCACCTTTCTTGTCTCATGACACCACAATTTATACCTCTTCATACCTGATTTATACCCAAGAAATATGTACTTTCTTGACCTAGACTCCAACTTCCCATTATCCACATGAGAATAAGCAAGACACCAAAAAATCTTCAAATCAGAATAGCAAGAAAGTTTACCAGACAATACCTCTTTTGGTATATTTTTATCAATGATAACTAAGGGTGAACGATTAATCAGAAAACAAGTTGCAGTAGCATCTTCAGCCCAAAAAGTTTTAGGCAACCCAGAATTTGAAAGCATACAACGACCCTTTTTCAACAAAGTTCTATTCATCAGTTCTGCCACACCATTCTGTTGAGGAGTTCCAGGTACTGTCAAGTGTCTCAAGATGCCTTCAGCCCTACAGAAGCTACTAAATTCATGTGAACAAAACTCCTAACTATTATCTGTGCGTAGACGTTTCACTTGCTTTCCAGTCTAATTTTCTACCAATGTATTCCACTCCTTAAAGGTCCCAAATACATCACTCTTCTGCTTCAAGAAGAATACCCAAACTTTCCTAGAGAAATCATCAATCATTGTCAACAAGTAATAATGGCTTCCTTTTGATGGTACCCTGGCCAGTCCCTAAAGATTTGAATGGATATATTCAAGTGTTCCCTTTATGTTGTGTCTTTCTTTTGTGAATCTGACTCTTTTCTATTTCCCAAAGTTACAATGCTCACAAAAATTTATTTTGCTGGTCTTCTGCCCATCAAGAAGTCCCCTTCTACTCAGCTCCGTCATGTCTTCTCACTCATCTGCACAAGCCGCATATGACAAAGTTTTGTAACTTCATCATCCGTTAAAGAAGAAGTAGAAACTGCTGCATCCCCAATTACTTTGGAACCATGCAAAATATACAACTGTGTAGTGCTTTTATGTCTCTTTATGACAACAAGAGCACCCAAACTCACCTTCAAAATACCACATTTACCATTGTATCGATAACCCTTTGAGTCAAGTGCATTCAAAGATATGAGATTCCGCTTCAGTTCTGGAACATGTCTTACATCTGTAAGTGTCTTGATCGCCCCATCGAACATTCTGATTCTGACTGTACCAACTCTGGTAATTTTACAAAGCGCGTTGTTTCCCATAATCATTGCACCTCTCGAAACTCCTTCATATGTTGAAAACCAATTCTTGTTAGGACACATATGTATAAGCCGAGTCTAGAACTCATTCCTCACAAGGTTTGGGATCCATGTAAGAAATCATAAGAAACTCTCATTTACTTTGCCCATCTTCCACAATATCAGTCTCCGTTGTGTTAGCAGGTTGCTTCCCTTTCTCATTAGCACCAGTAACTTTATTTTTATTTTTCAAGGCATATCAATCAGCTCTAATATGCCCATCCTTCTTAAAATAGTGACATGTCTTCTCAGCATGTCTAAATTTCGATCTGCCCCTCATATTTCTGCCAAAATTCCTATCTTGATTTCTCCCGCGTAGAATCCAGTGATAATACAAGTGTTGTTTCAAGTGTAACTTGCTGATCAAACTTTTTGTCATGAAAAGTTGCTCCAACTTCAACCACAACGCAGCGACACTTCTTTCCTTTAGAACATCCTAAAAAATTTGATTTGAAAGATGCAGATGAGTTTGTGATTGGGCTTTTCGATCCCTATGCTGCTTTTCATCCTGCGTCCAGGTAGTAGGCATCCTATCAAAGCCAAGCAAGGCTTCCTCCAAATCTATCTGAGCTAGAACCGCTCGCATCTTCACTTGCCATAAGGTAAATCTCGCGTTTCTATCCAACAACGGGATATCATACTTCATTAACCTCCCTCTGATACCACTTGTTACGAATTTTATAAATCTCTTTGTTGGAGTTCTAGATGAAGAAGAAGTCATTTTTCAAGCCAAACTCCCAATCCTTGATGAAATTTGATCTTCATTAATTTGGACTCTTAAAAATCCAAACTTATTAGACTTCTTTTATTCTATCAAACCCAAATAATATAGAATTTGGATCACACCACAATAGATATAATACAAGAAGGTTGACAAAAAATTTCTCGTAAAAATATTAACCCCCTAATTTTTTTTATGGGAGATTTCCAGTGTCAAATATTGTAAGATAAAAATAGTAGGGAGTAATTTTAAATTGGACAAGATAATTGAAAAAGTAAAATTTAATTTATTGAAAAATAGAATTTTACAATAGCATGAGACTTTTACAATGTCAATGCTTTTAGACTTCTACACCCAACAATTGAAGTGACAACCTATATTTATAACATACAAAAGCTGGCAGTTTGCTTCTAGAAAATTCTTATTTTCAGTTTGCTTCTAGAAAATTCTTATTTTTTCATTATTTTATCTTACTTGGTCCTTAAGGAATTCTAGAAATATGCAACAATACCAATACTCCTCGTTGGTGCATTAACTCCAATCATTTCTCGTAGTAACTCAAACTTTGCTTGTGATAATGCCTTTGTAAATATATCTGCAAATTATTCTTCAGTCTTGCAATGTTTGAGTTCTATCTCTTTGTTTGCTTCAGCTTCCCTGATAAAGCGACACTTGATGGCAATGTGTTTGGTTTTGCTGTGAAATACGAGATTCTTGGCCATTGCTATGGCAGACTTGCTGTCTAGTAATCTCTGTAGTTTCATCTTTTAAGTCTTCCATATCTTCAAGTATGCGCTTTAGCCATATAGCTTGATTCATTGCCATTTTTGTTGCAATATACTTTGTGATGAAGGCAAAATAATAATTCAATTTAATTTCGAGTTTGCTCGTTTTTGGCGAATTGCTAGTCTAATTTGAGTGGAAACGGGCCAATGATCACAACTCAGGGCCTTTGGCCCTGATGCACTTCAAATTTTGGGCAAATTTCATCGTTTAGGCAC